AGAGTGGAAAGCTTAGTAAAAGCTGCTATGATTATTTTTAAAACAGCATAACAATGAGAAAATGGGTAAGTCCCTAACACACATCATTTTTCCTCAGTTTCTCACTGGCCACTCACCTCTCTTTGCTAATGTGATTGAGAAACACTTTCATTAATAGGTTCACATTTGGAAATGAACAGCAAATCATCCACAAGTTGATTTAATGAATAGATGCTGTATTGATATCTGTTTTTATGGTTAACTATTTATAAAGTTTCTCTTAACATAAATCTCTAAAATTTATTTCATTGGGCTTTTCTCCTTCCTCAAAGTTTTCAGATTCATCTTTTTGTCTCTGTGAGATTGGCATATTTTGCATTCATATTGCTGATTCGGTCATTTACTAGAAGGAGCAGGCAGGAGTTTGGGGCTCTCCGCTGACTTCTGACAGACAGGAAAAAAACTGCAGCCTGTGCAGAAAAATGCACAGTAGAACCTGAGTGATGTTCAGTTACTTTGGACGGTTTTGTTTGAGGGGGCAGTGCCCTAACGTCTAGCGGACCTTTGCTGTCAATAGCTGAAGGAGTAATCTCTGTGTAACATCAATCCTAATTACTTGTAAAATGTCAGTGACATTGCTGAATAATTATAAGCGCTGGAAAGAAGTTGCCATCTTTGGTGTGTTGATGCCATCTATTAATCACCACCATCTCATTTCTACCCTCTATACTTGCCACTGTCACATTCCATTGTAATCGTACAACGAAGTATTAGTGCAAGGCTACAGATTTTTAAAATTCTTTTATTTGAGAAGAAGAAGAAAAAGAGAACCTAAAGCAATGCCCAAACATATTCCTTTTCAAAATAATGTACAAAGAAATTATTTTCAAAAGGTATAGAGAAGAATTGTAGAAAGTTTTGTTTGTGTTTTTTGTTTTGTTTATTTGTATATATGTACGAAAGTATATGTGTATATATATTTATGTATGTATATGTCTAGGTAGGTATGTATTTATATGGATATATATACCAACATAATTATAAATATTGTAAATTAAAGAAATGCAAGATTTAAGGGGGTAGGAACACATAAGTTTTACTTCCTCCAACTCCTTTTCGCACATGTAATAGAGGTAAATTAACTCAGGAAAGAAGGGTACTTTGTTTGTTGTTTTTCTCTCCAATGTTTTTAAACATTCGTTTATTGTTTTTTTGTTTTTCTCTTGCATGTTCGAAATAAAGATACCAAAAAAATAAATAAAATCGCAACATTACGAGAATAAAGTCATAAAATTAGGAGAATAAAGTTGTATTTTAAGACAACTCTTACAAAAGCCCTTTCATTTCCAAAAAGAGAAATGTCGAAAATCATTGAAGTTATATTTTGGCATCTTTTTGACAAATAAGTAAAAATTTAAGGACACAGCATCAAATTGGGCAGTATGTCAAAGTGCACTAAGGTTGTTGTTTGGTGGAGCTTGTGCGGTCGTATGATGGTCGGAGCTCAAAGCTTTCTTTCTGAAACAGGTTGTGGTATGATGACTTCATTCTGGTAGTTTTTCAGCTTTATTCTCATAAATGTACGGCCATTTTATATTTTTAATATTCCAACTTTATTCTCATAATATTGCGACTTTATTCTCGTATCTAAAAAAAATCTCTAGCCTGACCCAAGTACTCTATCGTATAATAGGGATCTCTACAGTGACAATTTTGTCAGCTATCACTGCCGTATAGCAAATATGTCTATCTCTATTCAGTCATATGAAAAACTTTGGATGCCCCAATCAACATTAATTATTATTATTATTCTTAAATATTTGAGTGCGCATTTTCTGTCAGTCCAATAAGTCAATACTGAAATATTACTGTGTCCATCAGTTATTAGATATATTATATGAAATAGCTGTTGCAAGCCCCCAAATATTTAGAAATAAATATAATCAAGATTAATAGGGGTGCCCAAACTTTTTCATATGACTGTAAATGTGAGACGCTCTCCTATGATGAATTATAATTAGCAATTTCTAAAGATTGAGACTTTCAGTTCATAGATGATAATACTTATGTTTAATATATTACGTTTCTGTCAGTAAATTCCAGTAACTATTACATACTGTAGCTTTAAACTGTAAAGATGCATTCTTTTGAAAACTGAGCGCACATTTATTAAAATCCTACTTTAGTGTCTGAAACCACCTTTTCGGTACCCTTCACAGATCAATAAGGGTTTACTGCATTTGATTTTTGTCATTAACTCAGCCTGGGATGTGATTAGTAGGAGAACTATCCTGGGCAGTGGTGGTTTGCTCAGGGACTCTAAATTTCTTATAATAGTAATAGAAAATAAATCATGGTTTTCTCCATTTAGAAGTTAATGAAAATAGCAAATGCATTAACATAAGTTTTGCAGAAAAAAATATTAGAAAAATGTAAAATGCATTAAGATAGGATAAAGGGAGCTATTGTATGCCAGTAATTTGTTGTTTCTGCAGAAGCATTCTGCAGTGAATAAACAGTTCTGTGTCTTACTCAAACCCTAAAAAGGCTTGCATTTATCTGCTTTGTTTACTCCTGCAAAATCACCAACTCTAATGAAAAAAAACAACAACCCTGAGTTATTCCAGGTTTCACAGTGAGTTTCCATAAATAAACAGAAGTAATTTAATACAAGTGGGCAGGAGAAATTGAGCTAAAGTGCAGAGGAGTGAATGGAGCTGGAGTGGTGTGCTTAAAAATAATTTTAAACAGCAGGCGTCTCAGAGAGCTGAAATCTGTCAAAAGGGGTCAGAATGGAGACAGAAATGAGTCATCAACTTTTATTTATTTATTTATTGAACAGATAGTAGAGTTTTCTATACGATACATGTTTTCAGATAAATATTGGCAGTTTTTGTTGCCTGCATAAAACGCTTAAAATAAAACTTCAAACCAAGGCCTGAGAGTCATTCAGTGATTTTAAACCAGCAGCAAGGATTTTTAGAGAACTATTTGGAATAGAAGTGCCATACAGTATCTGTACATTCAGTCATTCATATAGTGCAAACAGTCGGAGGCATGCAAAGAGCTGGATTCACACCCAAAAAGACAAACATGTTACAGATATATGAGTCTGTGAATGAAAGCAGCATGAGATAATCAAGGATCTGACTGTGACAGATGGCAAACAGATGGCTTGCAAAGGTGAGGGAGTGCCAGCTGTTGGATTTTACTTTTTTTCCCCCCAGGAAATTAGCATCCAACTCATTTTCATATAATATTTCAGCACGGATAAATACAATAGTGACATCTACAGACCTTTTGGAAAAGTGCATCTAAGCATCAGAAAACACAAATAATTCTTTCTTATTTATGCACTTATAAAAAATAATGTATACTTAAAAATAATTTAGTTACATTTAAATTACTACCAAGCTGGTGCATAAAAAAGTGGAAAAGTCATATATTCCAGAGTAAATGTGCTGCTTCTGCGCATGGGAAAACGTGCACAAAGATTGCTAAAAGAATTGGATAACCAGAAAACTTTATCCCACGAAGCAACACCTGCATGTCCATGCAGAGTAGATAATCCTCTAATACATGAAGCCTAAGCGATTAACTTCTCTTCTGCCAACACATGTAATTACTTCAAACTTCAAAGAGATTGGATGAAGATGAGTTAGTGTTAAGCTTTAGGTATGCAGCCTTCTACACTGATTCTCTGATGTTGGGAACTGACAAAAAATAAGCTTTGGTTCAAGGCACTTTTAAAAAAAATATCAGTTCACGTTAGTAACAAGTTTAATGTGTCTTCTATTCTATCATGCTGTAGCACGCTAACAGTATAACAATGTATTTGTTAAAAAGTTAGTTTCCAATACCATCAGGTGTGAAAATCCTACATTTTCTATAACAACACTGTTAGTGCATATTCAAAGGTGTCAAGTAACAAAGAACAAATCTTTGGTTTCCCTTACTTAAGCAGAAATTTTTGGCAATCTATACTTTTAAGACAGATTTTTACTTCTTTTCCTTATATATCTTTGCAATTATCTCCACTTTCTCCTCCTTACATTTAAAAGATACACTCGTTAGTTTTGTTTAATTTCAGCTTATTTTTGTTATGTCCAGTTGGTATTCAAAGAAAAATAAAAACCGTCAAAATAATTTGTTTCATCCAGACAATTAATCTGTTTGCGGTTGGATTCAGTACTGCAGCAGCTTGTTTGCCACAAACCAAAATAAGTAGTAGATGATGCAAAGTTAAATTTGACACTGTTACCATTAATTATAAAACTACGAACATTAAGTCTTATGGAGGATAAAACGTGCCAAAATTAAATAAATAAATACAGCATTAAATAAATAATTAAATGTGTCAATAATGAATTAAATGTGGAATTAAATAAATAAATGTGTCATTCATTCATTAAAACCACGTCACTAATATAAAGTGCCACATTTAAATAAATAAATACAGCAATAAACAATTAATTAAATGTGTAATTCATTAAATAAATAGAGAATTAAATATATAAATGTGTCATTAATTTAATAAAATACGTCTTCATTTTATTAAAAAAATATATATAATTATTTCAGTGTGCATTTAATTATTTTATGGTCCTGTGTAGCAGTGCATCGAAACCATTAAAAAAATCTGTCAAATTCACCCATCAAAGTTAGGGGGCGGTTATCTAACACCTGATTG